TTTTATCCGGGAAAAAATTACACCTCAAACTTTAACTGCGATTATCTCGGAATTTTGTTTTTTCAAAAGTGTCGCTGCGGTGAGCATGATTTCTCGAAAACCATTTCACCGATCGGTTTGAATCTTTCACGAATTTGTTTCTAATTACAATGGCTCGTGATTGAACGAAGGAATTTTTGTTTCCGCAAAAATTAACATTTTTAGGGCCAAAAAACTGATATTTTTGTTACACCAAAAATCGACTTTTTTGAAAAATCGTCGCCATTTATTGAAAAAACCAAATTTCGCTAAATCCTTCGTTCAATCACTACCTACAGTAATATACTAACGAAATTTCTTTGGTTTGTTTTTTTCAGATGCAGTGGTCCACAGTTATCATGCTCACCGCAAGGGCATGTATAAAAAATGAATTTTTTACAACTGGCCATGTTGCTCATATTTTTAGATATTTGGACGCAACAAAATTCTTATAAGTACCTCAATATATGTATTACTTGATGACAAAAAGCGTTTCAATAAATGTTTATTTATATTACAAAAAAAAAAATCATGAAAATCCTTCAATTTTTCGCATCCCAACTAGGTATAACCCCTTAATAAGAATACAAAGGCATATACTTAGGTTTCATTGTATGAAGATAAAGATAATTCCATTTAGGTTTTACTTTTTAATTTAGTGGAATTTAAATAATAGTACTATATGGGTTCTTAAAGATTAAAGGTACCACTTGTGTTTTGCTTTTTAATTTGGTAGAATTTAACTTGGCGCCGACTGTTGATATCAAATCTTGTATACAAATGACAAACGTCATTAAAATTAAGTAAGTAATAAGGTAGAATAACTTGGCGCCGACTATTGATATCAAATCTTTTATACAAATGATACATGTCATTGATTTAAGTAAGTAATAAGCATAATACCACGTAGGTTTTTATAGATTAGAATTTAACTTGGCGCCGACTATTGATATCAAATCTTTCATACAAATGATACATGTCATTAGAATTAAGTAAATAAGGATAATATCACGTAGGTTTTTAAAGATGGTTCTACTAAACAGCAAATGTGATTGGTCAGTTTCACAGTCGATTAAGTAATTGACGTTGGTGAAACTGGCCCAAATTGTTTTTTGACCAGCAGCACCCACTCTTAGCGCTTCTTTCTACCTTTTTTTTTAAAAAAGTAAGTTTATATATACATACTAAAGATACATGTCATTAGAATTAAATAAGTGTATAAGGATGGTACCTCTTAGATCTTTAGAGA